ATGGCTGAAAGCCAGGATCTCCAAAAGGAGTATGCAGATGCCAAAGGCAGAAAGAATATGGGACGGTTTGAGATTGGAGATCTTGTTTTGTTAAATGCTAAAAACCTTCCTACGCATGCAGTGTCTGCGGTCTTTAAGAACAAGTTGAGACCTAGGTTCATTGGACCGTTCAAGGTCGTGGCCAAGAAGGGCCTAGCGTACACGCTCAATCTTCCGAAGAAGATGCGTATGCACCCGGTATTTTACGTTGGCGTGCTTAAGCCATACCGGGAACCTGCTCGGGTGAGCTCTGAGGCGCTAGCGCCGGGTCGGACGAGGGCTGCGAGGCAGCAGGAGGCTGCGAGACAGCAGGGTGCTGAAGCCCAGCACCAGAGTCCGAGTACGCAGGATACTGCGGGGCAGTAGGAGGCTGCAGAACCATGGGAGGCTGCAGAGCCGCAGGGTGCGGAGGCACACGCGGCTGCAAGGCAGCGGGCGGCAGGGTCATCGGGGGTGGCATTGCCACAGGATGAGAGCCATACGCTGCATCCGGACCAACAGGTCCAGTTGAACCTGCAGTTGAGCAACTTGACGCTCAAGGTCCGCGGCCCGCTGTTGCGTCGCCTGAGGAGACTCGAGCCAGCCAACACGGCGCTCGACATCCCCGAGATCATTCGCTAAGCGATGAGAGGAACGGTCAACGTCAGCGACGTAGTCGCTCACCGAGCGAACGCGGCTCCGTAGAGAGAGAAACTCGACGAAGCTCGCGGCGCGAGAATCCAGCGGCTGCTCGGCCTCCTCCTGCTCTGCTCGACGAGCAAGGGGAGCTCCACTACCATGTGGAACGCCTGATGGCGCGGCGTCGACGCCAGGGTCATACGCAGTATCTTGTGAAGTGGCGAGGTTACCCTCATTCACAGAACTCGTGGGAGTTCGATGTGCCACTGCGGCAGGACTGCCCTGACGTCGTTGACGCTTATGATCGGGATCACCCGGTGACGGACCGCCCGAAGGGTGTGCGACGGAGTCGTCGGGCGCCACGCGCTTCCCACTGCTAGAGAAAGGGGCGACGACAGGTCGATAGCCGAGCTCAGGCTCTGACCTGTGGCTGGAGCAGCCAGCTCAAGTATGATCATCGGTGCTCGCAGCGGGAGCAGGAGGCAGGTGTGCCTCGTGGTGTTGGGGACATGGTCCCGACGGAAGCGGATGCTTCGTGTTGTGTTGGACGAGGTCCAAGCACAAGCGTCCTGATTGACACGTATTTGTTTCGAAGAAACTTGCTCAAAGAGCATTATCCAAGGTTGGAATTGCGCTGTTGCAGCGAAGGTGGTGTGTCCCGGACGGGATCGAACCACCAACCCTTGGCTTTCAAAGCCAACGCTCTACCATTGAGCTACGTGGACAATGCCCGTAAACGTGTCCTTGTACGGACTATTGCTCATCGTGTGCCCGGGTGGAATTGAACCACTGAACTGTGACTTTCAAAGCCAACGCTAGACCATTGAGCTAGGTGGGCGCTGCCCGTGGATCGAGTGAGTCCAAAGCCTTAGTCAAGGTAAGTGGACTGTGTACTCGAGGGTGGTATCGAACCACGGACCTCACGCTTTTCAAGCGAGCGCTCGACCACTGAGCTATATGGTCGGAGCCCAAGGTTCTGATGAACATGGAGCTCAAGGCTCTTAAGATTGGCTCACATCATGTTGGCGGCTCATTGAGCATGTGCCATGTTGGCAGTGTGGTGCCCGACCACGAAGGTATGTGTGGCAACTCTCGGAGCAGGCACGACGTGCGCAAAATGGTCTGGGATCTCGTGGCAACTTGATGCGCGACGCGCTGATGACGTTTGGTCGTGGGCCGCAGGCGAAGGGTTACGCGTCAGAGATGCAAAGGTGTTCGTGAGCTCGGAGAGCTGGAGAACGCAAGGATGAGGCGCAGTGCCCTCCGACGTCTTGGCAAGACATTGCCTCGCTGAGGTACTTTCGAGAACGGGTAAGTTCTCATCTTAGTGGGGGGAGAGTGTAACGGGGTTACACTGGTGTGGTGCACACATGGGTACGGAGTACCCGAAAAGTTAACAGATGCTCCGTACATGACTCGTAGAGTTAACGGTGGCCTCAGTACATAGGCTGAGGGCCACACGATTTGCATTTGATTAGGTTTTACTATGCTAGATAGTTAACCACATACATTAATCCCATAGGCGGCTTGCCGTAATAAAAGATAAATAAACAGTTTGGATTTCGAACACAAGGAGTAACGACCTTTTATTAGGGTCGTTGTTAGTAGGTCCCTTCGGATATTAAGGCCTATTAACCTTTATAAGGGGTTGAGTTAACC